ATGTCATTTGGTTTTCCCCTATTTAAGACTTATTCACAAATGAGAAAGAGTCAAAGACAACAGAATGTTTTTGGTGTGCTGCTGTTTTATTTGTAGTCATTGGATACAGGCAAAAATAGTAGTTTTGCCAAAAGCAGATTTATTGACCCTATAATGAAACTGCATGCTATGATAGTTGTGGTCATTCCAATCAGTTTTGATTCTATTATCATTTCTGTTTTTGTAGCTTTGAAATGTTATGCAGGTTCTGTTTATCTATCCACAGTAGAGACATCTGACTACTTGGCTGTTTTTGAGTCTGTTCCCCCACCACATAAAACCTATATCTATTTAAGTTTAGCAATATGGAGGTGTAACCTTTGTTATGTTGATTTTCCATGATTTGCCCACTTTAAAATACTGTACCCCATTTTGTTTATTCTACTTATAATTCCCCAAAGCATGATGAATAAAATTTAGCATAATAAATGTACACACCGATTGATATGTGGACAAAACACACCAGGTGTTTGCTTGAATTAACGGTAGGCTAGTGGTTAAGGCGCCGCGCTCTCGCCGCTGTGCCCCGGGTTCGAATCAGGGTTGTGTCAGGAAGGGCATCCGGCGTAAAACACGTGCCAAATGTCAACATGCGAGTCGTCAGTGTGACGATTCGCTGTGGCGACCCCTAAATGGGAAAAGCCGAAAGTGACTTTCTTTCTTTGAAGTACAAGCAAGGTAATAAAAAAGTTTTTAAAGAAAGAAGTTACACTTTATTACAAAAAGAACAAATACTTTAAACATAGTATTACACACCAGTGATATGACAGCTTTAAAATACTTAATTCAAGGAATGGCTGTATTTTCTAATTAAATCACTTCACTGCCCGCACGACAGATCTGCCCCTCTGGCTTCCCAAATGACTCACTTAACTGTTCATGTAATGAGCATGCAATTGCTTTGTAACACAGCTAACCAGCTTGTCTTTGGACATCTCTGAACAAACGAGGAGCCTGTCAAAAGCATGTTATGCCCTTACACCAGCGTGTACAATGAAGCATCACAGTGATCTGTCTTTGGTTTCCTCCCACCTAATTGAGCTTGATGAGCATGACACCTGATAGCCTGCCCTCTCTGGGAATCTCCTCTCAATACTCCTCAGTGACAGCTTCAGTCAAAAATTTTGTGGAACTCTTTGGTGAAGTGCTACGCCACCCTGTCTCATGTTGCGCAAAAACTTTGTGGGGACGGACGTGTGCCAGTTTATCCAAGCTGGTATCATTCCATACCTACACCATTATGGGGTTAACATTACATTAAAGAGGTTCCCAAAATGACCACGGCCACTATGTAGCTCCACCCACCTCATGCATTGTCACTTTTAGTACAATGCTGCTTTGAAGGTAGGAGCAATAAACTATTGCCACAAGGTTTAACTGGTGGACTTACCGGTGGGTGCTGATGCAGCTAAAAAGGGAGATTGAGCATGAAAGCAAGAAGCAAATAATGAGCGATGTAATCTGCATACCCACACTAAACAGCTTAACCTCTCACACATCCAGGGGATACAATTTTTCCTGTAAAGCTATTCAGCTCCATAGAGAAATGAGGCCAAGAAGCAGAGGGATGGTGCACACCTGATCCTGTCTTGGCACCCTGCAGTCCCTCTGGGGCTCCGCCTGGGTGGCCAATAGGCCTACACATGATGAGGCAGAGGCTTCGGGGGGGGACTGGGAGTGCAACTAATCTCAGCATTTACACTCCTAATACTAAAATTGTTCTTAATTTTAGGCAAATGCTGATAGACAAGGCTAGAAAAAAAAACACTAAAAAGAATAAACTACTCCTGAAGGACAGGATTTGTTCATATTATGGCTAAAAAAGAAAATAATCAAGCCTTCACTTCCAGCATAAATAAGAATTACCAACACAACAAAAAAAAAAATCCTCTAGCAGATACATAGCAGTTATGGATTTAGTAAAATTATTTATTAAAGGTTGACTGTATGTTGACAGCAGGACAACAAGCATGTAAAAGGCTCTTTATGTTTTTTGTCACTGCCTCGAGTCAACAGTGAGAGATGTGCTCCTCACCTCAGTCTCACATTTCTTGACCACTCTGTGCATTTCCTATGTGAACAGTCAAGCCTGACTGAAGCAAGGCTGCAGAAATCTGACCAACTTCCAGATCAGGTGGAGTCCCTGCCACTTAAACAGGGTAAATTTGTGTTCAGGGGAAGAAAAAGGATCCTAAGCCAAAACAAAAGGTGAGGAGCACATCCACTCCCTTGTGCTGTCAAACAATGCCTTCATTCACTGCCATCTAAATGACATTTAATTTGATTCTGCTGTTGATCTCCCCGATACCCTGAGGGAATCTGATGAGCCGCCAAGCAGCATCATGCACAGGACCTTGAGCGCGCGTCACACACACTCGCTTCCAAATGGTGGAAAACATCCTGAAATAAAATCACAGGTAGCAGGTCCGATTTCACTGGATACACCAGGTCATGTGAGACAAAGGTGGAAATACAAATTGGCTTAACACATCATGTCCATGGACTCCTGAACCCTTCCCAGGAAATCACCTCTTTAAGTTACCTTCGTAGCTCTGTCTTTTTCTTTTTTAAATCAATGAAAATTAGCAGCACACAAACCCAACATTAAAATATAAACATCTGAATTAGATTCTTCACAATCCAAATATCATCTATTGCTTTCTGTGATTTTTTTTTTTAGCTGTGCAAGTAGAGGGAGCTTTGTGCTAAGACCATTTACAAGCAGTGCACAAGTCTTACTTCTTCTCTTCTCTCCACTGACACCTATTGGAAGGCAGAAGGATGAGCCAAAAAGTGACTGAGTGTCGTAGTCGTCAGTGTTAGTAAATTATTATTATTATTAGTTTTGGACTTTTCAATTTGAAAACATCATCAAGGGCTCTGGGAGCTTAACAGACATTTTCAAATGTCTTCTAAAATCTTAGAAATCAAACAGTTAATTGTGGAAGTTAGATTAGTCAGTTGCAGCCCTACTTAATAAAGAGGCATAAATAAATATGTTTGACAATGCTTTTAGCATATGAATATAAATTACTTAGTCAAATAATGAACCTAATGCAAATTGAGTAATAAGATTAAATAGTAAAGTTAATTGTGTTGATGAAAAACTCCCTGCTAACATTTGGGATCTTATTGTGCATTTTGTGAGATGTCTTCTCTCCAGCTGATCCGGACACCCCAGTGACCACAGGGTTACACCAGGACATTAGCGGGGCCTCGCAAAGGAATTAGCTCATTAATGTAATGGTAACGAGATGGAATCAGCCTCCCTGGGGAGAGATATGGCAGGGGCATCTCCGCAGCTGCCTTTTTTTGTAAATCACTCTGCTTATCTGGTAGGATGAGGTGATCAATATAGCAGCATCACTGTAAACAGATAATGTAGCGAGCTCTGGGGCTAGTGTCTGTATAGCAGCACATTAAGCCACACAACCATCCAGAGGACGAAGAGTGATAGGCAGACAGCCAGGCTGCATCTCGACACCAGCTACCGACTTCACTGACCTGAGAGAGCTGCATTGCAAGGTTAAAGTGTGACCTCTCCTGCTTTTTAGATGGTTTACAAAACCAAAACAAAAGTATTCAGTGGAATTTGTCTGAGTAGCCTCCAAAGTTGCTACTGTAAAAAACAAAAAAAACTAAAACAATTTGATGAGGTACATTCTACAAGCTACAGAACAAGCTTTCAGTCTAAACTACAGAACATATTCCATAAAATATATGTTGATAGAATGAGTCTGGATAGATATGTTCGTCAGCGGCTATTCTCTGGTTGAATTCTCAGCTCTCAGCTGGCAAAGCTCTTTAGGCTCCAGCAGTATTAGCAGCAAGCTCCTAAAATAACATTTTAGGCCTTGGGCACACTGTACTGTGCCTGTGTCAACGTGTTAATCTCATGTTTGTGTAAAACTCTGCAGAGAAACCTGTTTAGCTATGAAAGAAGAGATAATTCATGATCGTTCTTTTATAATTATTCATAACTCACTGCAGAGTTGGACTGGACTAGTTTGCAAAAGACAAGAACACATGAGCCTAATCTTCACCTCTCGCATGCTCAATACAGCATGTCAAAAAGATGTCAAATGCCAAGGAGGTATTGGGTGCACTTAAGCTAAAACAACATCATACACAGATACGCAAACAAACTCAGCAAACAAATACTTTTTTTTTTTTTTACCAGAAGACAGTCTCTCCACTTAAAATAACTTTTTTTTTTTTTTTTTTTTACAGGTCAGAAGTCTGCATGGAATTCCCTCAGATTACAGTGACTGAGGAAGAGAGAGTACAAAAAAAAATCAATATACATGTGATGCCCTTTAAAAGCCTTATAAATTAAAAAAATTTTTTTTTTTTTTTTTTTTTTACAGGTCAGAAGTCTGCATGGAATTCCCTCAGATTACAGTGACTGAGGAAGAGAGAGTACAAAAAAAAATCAATATACATGTGATGCCCTTTAAAAGCCTTATAAATATAAAAACATCTGTCCATTAGCAGAGATTCAGAGACCAGTAAATGCTAATGAATGGGAGAGCAAGGCCATTCGAGTCCATTACAGAGTCCCACTAGTGGGTGCAGCAGCCTCTCTGAGGTTATCTACTGGCAGCCCATTCCAGACCCCTAAGTCAAAAATACTCTGCACTCTAAGTGATAGATGGGACACGTGCTTTTTGTGTTTCCAGAGAAAAGAATGAACACAAATTGATTATGGAAATGGAAATGCTTTCCATTTCTAGAAGGGCAGTGCTGTTACTCGATACATTTTGAGACTATTTATTGAGAGGGAGAAACTATAAACACTGATAAAGTAGGTTAGTTAAGATTAGCTCACTCACTTTATGCAATTGCAAAAACAATCACAGACAGAGACAAAAAAGATATATGTTGTCAGTAAGGTCAGAGAAAGGATACAGTGAATGAGAAGTCACTGGGAAGATAGAGTGTAACAGCTTTTGAAGGTGTTGTGAATATCCAGCGAAATCCACAGTCTAAATCTTTCCAAAGTGTTTCTGTGCTTCAGGCATTATGAGTGGAATCAAAAATCCAAAAATCAAAGTCAACAATCTGCACCCACAGCAAATTCAAACTAATTAAGCTTTTGGGCAAATTTAACTGCAGAGAAGTTGCTGCCAGTGATTACGATGTACACGAAGTCATAAACGCCTTGATCCATTTTTGTTTTTTTAACATTTTTGTTGATATACTAACAAATTTCAACTTTTCATGAGCTAACAGCTAATTTTCAGCTTTGTGGCAATGCAGTTTTTATTTCAATAGATTTATAAAAGAGAAAATAAGAACTGATGAAACTGTTCCTTGTGCTGCTTTAAGGGTAACAAAAAGAGAATGTGTAATATTCAGTGGGGTCACACAGGTACTGCTCATCAAAGGGCACTTCTAAATGCAGGCCCACAAGGAAGTTCTGTCATTGCAGAAAAACATCCTTCCACACCTGTTCCAGTCCTGAGAATGAAGCTAAATTTAGACTTCCACCTACTGCCCAAGATCATACTCAACAACTGGTCAGCATTTCCAAACAGAACCTACTGTATCCGAAGCTAAAGAGTCAGCTCACCTTGTTGGTTTGAAACAGAAACCTGAATAAGTCAAGATAATAAGGGGATAGCAACTTATTCTTTGTGTTGATTTGGGTATCAATTCATACAAACATACCTAAGCACACCTTCCATTTTTATGTAATTCTATTTACCTTTATGTAAACCGATACATGAATTATTTTACTTTTGTGATGGTACTCACTTGAGAGGAATACGAGGAACTGCAGTGGGCGTGGAAGCGGCAGTGACAACCTGCAGAATCTGTTCCAGAGCCGACAGGCCGCCGCCCACTTGGAAAGCCACTTGGTCTGCATTGTTCTGGTGAGGCGAGAACAGACAGAAAAGAGATGTACAGTCAGGAGACAATGAGCCACTGGCCGGACAGGGGATTACATGGCTCTCACCAGTGAGGGAACCTATCTTGCTCCTACAGGGGCAAGGGACTGAAATCTGAAACAAAGTGATCCCTAAAGTATTCCTGTTTAATCTCAAAAGTGCACAACCTGACTCCACCCCACAGCAGTCAAGTTTCAGTGGAAGGCAAAATGCTCTGCAGGCTCCAGTCAGCACCAGGGTGGTCTCAACAGAGGGCCACAGACTAAGTGAAACTGAGAAAATGCCACTAAGCCAAACAAAGAACAGCGCAATTAGAGAACCTGAAAATGAACACGGTCATTCTAAGAGGACAAGGTACAGAAAACATTGGAATATTACATTCAGACCAAAACTGATAATGTATTAGATTGAAGTAAGATTCTGCGATTTAATTTCTTCAACCGTCATGCCAGCATTTATGGGGAGTAAAGAGCAACGCAATTCTGTTGAGAGATTTTTCTTCTTTTAGTACTGTGGAGCACCAGCCTTTTCTTACAACCTGATTTCAAGGTGATTCATTTTATTTTAGACCACAAATCTTAGTACAGACATTGTGCTGGACACGAGTTTATCAAATACACAAATGAAGGGTCAACAGAGGACATGGAAATGTGAATGAACACATTATTTGTCAGAAACTGAATGTTGAAAGCTCTTAAATCAACAATACAGAAATACATTTTAATCTGATGTAATTACAGACAATCATACAGTAAAAAATACCAAACTGAGTGAAATAGAGATACAATATAGAGTACAGTTATTTTTGCCTTGTGCAAAAACTACTGAGTGTTTATGTCCATGCAAGAACTTTGTTGTTATTTCATTATTTTAATGAGAAAGCTCAACTTCTTTTGCCTGTTTTCTGGTCAGCAGTAGTTCTGATGAGAACATTAGTTAAAAATGGCTTCATTTCAAACTACCATGTTTATAATCATTACTGTAAATCAATTTTGAACTCAACTATTATTTTTATTTCAAGTTGGGTCCACTGGTTGTTGATCATCCTTTTCTTCCCCTCACTTCACTCAAAAGCAGAACACAGATAAACCTAGACGAGGAAAAGCTACATCATTGCAGTGCATATTATTTGTGAACGCCTGTAAATAGTGAGGTCCTGTCCTCATGTGATGATAGCCTAATTATCAGTAGGCCAGACGATGCTGCTACAGTGTCTTATATATCAACAAGTATAAAGCCAGGAACAAGTGCTGACTATCAGACATGTTTGTGCCTGGGTCGACAGGGAGCAGAGGAGCTGGAGGGGAGCTGCTGATGGAGGGCCTTCTTCACACAACTGCAGAGGGCTGTGTTACACTGCAGGTCACTCCTCCACCTAATGAGGTTACAGGCTCCTCACTGCTGTGACAGCACTAAAATCCAGCCACTTCACAGTGCTTTTGTTCCACAGATGGGAAGTTGCCAACAAGTCTGAACACACAGAGAGAAGCGCTTTACCAAATTACAGATAAGCTCTTCGTCTGTCATTCATCCCTGCTGCTGAGGTAACAGCACTTCGATTCCGGTGATAGACACACAGAGGACGCAGTGAACAATCATTTAGGGTTTTGGGGAGGGAGGAATTAAACACACCAAAAGACTCTTGGCCTTCAACACAATGAGAAACATCACAAAGACAATCTCAAGATTCCAAGTAGTGCTTGTAAAAAGACCTAATTATGACTTCCGTTCTGTAAGTTGCCAGCAGTTTCCATGCCTAATCAATTGGGTCTCAGTCACTGAGCTTGGCTTAACCTTTCTCTTAAACCGGCCATCAACACGCCTACCTAAAAGCTTCTTGGCTAAATGAGAAAAGGCAGCTCTTTCATAGCAGCTTATCAAATGGTATTAAAGAGGGTAACTGGGATATGCCCAGTCCTGGCTGTCTCCTGTGAAAACCAGACAAGAGTTGCTTGGCTAGTCGGTGCCTTTTTCTGCTCTGCTGACAGATTTATCTGTTGTGATGATGGAACAATATGAGTAAAGAGGATTAAGTTCAAACTACCCGACATACTATCTTCAGGTGGTCTATGCATGCAGTGGTCCACAAAACACAAAAAGGCACCCGAGTATTACTGTGAGGAGACACTTCCCCAAAAACACGCTTAAATTAAAGGCTTGGTTTGCATGATGAGAGCTCTGTGGCGTGCGAATGTTGAGCCATGTGCTGTGAAAAGCAGCTGACTTTAAAGCAAATGAAACAAGCATCTGGTCATTATATATCCTTTCTATAAACCTAACCATACAGGGTAACAGAGATCAAGTTTGTGTGTAATTACAGTGACAGTGTATGTACACAGCAAGTTGAATTTGCATACAAACTTAACAGGATGAAAGCAATGTCTTAGTAAGGTCAGCAAGGATTCATGAATTATATTCCTACAGTTATATTAAGATTCTCAACCCAGTGCACTTAAAGGGATACTCCCAACATTTTGGGAAATGATATTGCATGGACTGCCATGAAATCTGAAGGACATTCATGTCTTCCTCAGGATATATGAACAATGTTGGTGTTCTTTTAACTTTTCATCTGGTGCCAACATAATCTTTATTTGACCAATTCATTGGTTTATGACCAAATGCCTGCAAAACCAATGACACTGCTGTTACCCTGCACTGCACTTTGCAAACTGCAATCATGAAATGTTAAATTTGCTGAATGTTAACTTAAGATAGTAGAATATGATATTCACACACTGCACCGGTGGGGTGCTCATGTGGGCCGCCCACATGAGGGTGTCAAGCCCCTGGTGGGGCTGTAGGGTTCATTTTTCAACACTGTTTATTTTGGTTTGTGTGTGAAAGCAATAACTGTGCCCTCAGCAACATGCCAATAGAAGGTCGGTGGCATCGAGTTGGTTGCACCCGCTGATGCATGGAGCGGCCAAATCCGCGTGGCTAAGTTGTGCAGCTGCAGCCAATAGAACTTGGTCTTGCTCTGACAGGCTAGCTTGGCATGCCAGGCCGCACCGGAGGCTTTTGAGGGTGAAACGGATGCATTGTTTACACAAGCCCAGTGAGTCTAACGCTGCCCGGGCACGGTCGAGCCCGAGGCAAGCGGCACACACTGCGTGAGTGTCCTTAGCTGATATTTAGCACCCACAACAGCACACCCGTGGTGGGTTGATCGGTTTTTGGAAACTGGCCATATAGAGTGTAACTGTTTAGCATGGTGGCTTAACACATTACGGTTGGCTAGGGGTGCCATTCACTGACAATGAGGTTGGCTTTCGATAGCCAATGGTCGTGCAGTAGGGCGGCGCAGTGGTTAGTGCTGTTGCCTCACAAGAAGGTTCCGTGTTCAAGCCCAGGCCGTCCTAGGGCCTTTGTGTGCGGAGTTTACATGCTCTACCTGTGCCTGCATGACACCAACATCACAGCTGCAAGCCACATTGGCTGGCGTAATGGAATAGGAGCTTCTGAGAGCTACGTGGGGGAGGCGCACCCCATAGTGAGAACCTGAGCGAATGCTTGAAAGAGAACCGACTACAACTTTACTCTGCACTTTTAAGCCATGAGATGACTCCTTCTCAACCAAAACAAAGACTGAGATAAAGACAGAGTGTGACAGATCACCCTCTTCTCACATGAATTTCATCATTATACAGTCTTATAGAAAAGCCTGAGAGTTGTAAACAGAGCTCTGTGGGCCAAGACAACTATAAACCACAACAAGGCCACTAGAGTAAACATCTTAAGGTCAAGTATAAACTTGGGTGTTTACACGGCATAATGGCATATGATTTAGTGCATTATGTGAGCGCAGGGCAAGAACGGAAATGAGTAATTCTACAAACTGTGTTTATTCAATGAAATGAGCCAAGATTAATCAAAGGCCAGTTTGGGGCATATAAAAACATACTGTACCGCATAAACCACAGACAGCCTTCAGTTAAAAGTAATATACAGAGAAGCTTAGAACCATTTCATTCCCTATTGGTGTTGTGGTGAGGAAACAAAATGAGGCTGTTTCAGACTGGTTTAAATTAACTGTAAATGTGACACCATTAAGGTTGAAACTAAAATGATTTTATTAATACAACTTAAAATGTTAATTTGATTAATAATAACAAGTCTGGAAGAAGAATATTTTGCTCATAAAGAAGGAACAATTCTAAATGGAACTAAAAAGCATGCCGCTCTTTTTTTCAACTGCTGGTCTGGGCTGTATCTGTCACTTTGTTTGAGGCCCAAACAAGAAGCCCTGTTCTCCTGCCACTATGCCCTTCACCTTCCCCCACGTCCCCTGATACAACTCCCACCAGTGCCACTGGTCAGCGCGACCAGTCTTTGACAGCTGGCAAATGAAAATGTAAATACTGTCTGCAACCATTGGTTCTCAGAGCACCAGGTTTCTTACCTGCCATTTATGCTGCCCTTTACTAGACAGCCTATAATTGAAAGCAGTGGTAAATACTATGGGCTATACAAGTGATTAAAAAATAAGGCAAACGTGCTCAAAAATTAAAAAAGCAGAACAATGGGAAACTTGCTCTTTGTAATCACCCAAAGTTAAAAAAAAAAACAGGTCTGAAACAAAATAGGCCATTAGAGGCCACAGAGGGAGAAACACACGGGGGTCAGAGACGAGACACTGCCTAGAAACCTAGGGAGAAGTGCGGGGTGGGGGTGGGATCCCACAGCATTGCAAGAAACAACTGCTGGGTGTTGTCTAAGGAATTAGTAGAGAAAGTGGAGACTGAATCAGATATGGGGGAGGAAAAACAAATCTCTAGGTGACCAAATGACACAAGAGATTCTTGTTAGGTCAAATAATCTAAACGGTCCCAACTTGAAGTGACTCGGGCCTGACAGCCATGCTGACGAAGGCTCTATTTGTTTGACTTTGTCCAGGGATTAGAGAGGGAAGTGCTCCCCGGGCTGCCTCATTGGCCAATCACGGTTCTACACAGCTTTGAGTGGATGTTTTTATAAGACGCTGTGAAGCAGAACTTGACAAAACAGTTTAAAATGTACTTAAAACTGAAGTAATAAAACAAAGCCAAAGCACTCGAATAGAGCCTTGATGTGCCTGTGACACCGCTGTAGAACAGAGCAAATCTCCTCTGACCTCTGACCTCCCTGTGGGCATATGTGAAGCTGAGGGAGGAGCGCTCATGTAGTGACAGCTTGTGAGCTACTCACATCACACTGTTCTCCTCCTCTCTCCTTACAGGACGCTGTGCCACCCACCTCAGCCACCTCTTTCTTTACCTCTCTGGGGAAATTCGGTAACAGCCTCTTTAGCCGTCCCCCTCGCCACTGCCGGGACACCATAATCTCTCGGTCCCCTCCCCCACAGGAATCCACAGTGTAGTGATATCATGGCTTGAACCAGAACTTGTCATGAAATTTATGCCTCATTACAGGAAGTGGGCTGTATATTTCTCCTCGTCATAAACACTGTGGCAGGTATTTGTCCTCCCAGTCTCCAATTGATATGAATTTTACTGTAAAAAGCACCATGCAATATCTTAACCTCTGGGACATATGTTTCAAATAAACTATAGTTATAAATTTCTACCATTATGTCTGACAATTATATATATTTATACAGCTACAAAGAAGTGTAAGAAAAAAGGGTTAGATCTCTGAAAAAAATGTCTCCTCTCTTGTCTTGGTTTAATATAGTGCATCAGTGGCATTTCATCTGGAAATCCAATTTACCATTGACTAAACCAGTGACATCTGACTCATGGACGCCACAGACACAAGACAATGCCTGCTCTCGTGCTAGGAAGCTCCTTTATTGATACCATGTGCAAAATGAAAACACAGTTAATCTGGTTTTCATTAGCCAATAACCAAAGGCAAGTTGGTTTAGAGTAAGTGATACTCTATAGTGGGAGGGTGAAAGAGAGGGATCCACAGCCAAACATCACTGAAGAGAGAGACGCCAAAGGGCTGGTATGACCTGTGCACTGCTTGCACGCCGTGGTGTCAACAGCAAAGCAACTACACTGGACACTCAGACCAGAATGTTATGCACCCTAAAGAGATCTGAGGTGGTAACAGGCAACTATGAATCACTGTAACAGACATCTATCATAAAGATATTAAGGAAATGGGTACATAAAATCACTAATCACTAATGTTAAACCAAGAAAACATGCATATAGCACAATCACACTGACCAAGTGATCTACCTGTTTCTCTAAGATACGAGAAATCTCTCCAAGAGTTCTGTCCAGACCAGAAACTTTGTTGCTGGCCCACTGGCCGCTGTCTTGGCCCTGCAGCTGCTTCAGCAGGTCCTTCACCAGGCGCTGCAACCTGAACATACAGGAGTCAAATATTATTATGAATCCATTTACCAACGTTTTTTAGGTAGTCAAAAAAAAAAAAAAAAAAAATCAATGTATCAGGTGTCTCAAATATAAATATCTGTCCATTTTCTTAGTCTTTTATTAAAGTAAATCAAATATCTTTACATTTTGGAGTTTTGTGGGGGAAATAGCAAAATAGCAGAAACTATTTAAAGATATGAGTTGCTTTTAATTTAATGGAAATAACTGTCAAGTGCAGCCCTAAAGCTGAATTTATCATCTTGCATTTTGAGAAACTGTGATAGGCATTGCTAGTGATAACTCAAAAAAAAGCAGAGCAGATTAATATATAGTATAAGTGGGTGACTTGTACATCCACAGCTTTATAACTAGTGCAAAACGTTAAAAATGTGAACCTTCAAATTCTGAAAAAGAAAGCACTTACTTGGCCTTGTATGGAGAGTCAGGGACCTGTGTCTTTGCTTCCATTGAGATCTCATATTCCTTTGCTCTGCGGAGGAAGAGGGGAAAAAGTCTTTGAATCCAAGAAAAATGTGGCTGGCCTGTCAGTACAGAACACAGCGGACGAAAGTGTGAAGGGAGAGAGCGATACATTGAGCCTGTTTATTTGGCCTGTCAGCCATTCACCAAGAAACTTGGCTTAAAATAATCAGACACCGACTCTGTAGGGACAAGTGTTTTGCTGCCATAGACTCGTCTCATGAAGACCTAATTCTACCTGTAAATCCTCCTGCCTTTGAGTTATTTTAACAAGGGAGGCTCAGGTTTTACTTCTCTCCTTGCCAAATAAGCAGTTAATGGAGGTTACAAGCAACACAACCAATGTTTTGAATGTGTGACCTCCTGAAAGGTCATGGGGGACTGGAATCTCTGTGGCATTACTCCAACAGCCAGACGCTAAGAAGCACAAACTCTGTCTGTGTGTATGCATCTCGGTAATTAAATGGTGGATTCTATCTGTCAATCAAGCATTCCCAGACATGATAAGTAACTATTGATCAGCGTTAGACAGAGCACCTTCCGGTTACCCATTTCCAGTCTGACAGAATCAGGCATTTCTTGGAAGACGACAGGTGAATGTGTCCCAGAAGAGTAGACCAAGAACAAACAAAGCCTGATTTACTGTTTACAATCTTTTATATTCAAGAGCAGTCATGGAGACATCCAAAACCTTTTAACTTTTCAGCCAGAGTATAACATATATTCTAGCATTCAGACAGAAAGTACCGTCATTATTAATTTGCTGTTGCATATGTACTTAACAGTTTAGGATTAAAGGTAAAATCTAAACAAGCAAACTATAAGATGGTGCATATTAATATCAAACAAAAGTTAAAAAAAAATGCATATACATGTTCCTACTGCATAAAATGTACATGCCACAAGACAAAGCTGTGAGTGAAGATAACTATGCATGTGTTAGTCTTCAGTATTAATTAACTGAATACTTTTCACAGATTTAGAAAGGCTCGATCTATATTTGCCCTGTTTATCATTCATGATATTACAATATTACTCTCTGACAGGTTTAGAACTAACCAGGGAGCAAGTGCTGAGCAGATCATTATTGCCAGGAAGCCAGGCATCAATTGAAATGTCATAACCACAAGTGAAACGGACAGAAACCTAAAATGTTACTAATACATCAATAACTCAATGTACTTAAATGTTTAAGAACCATTTAGCATGTATGTGCACTGTTAAGGACTTGTGTTCATGTACAAGCAGGAGCCTTTCCCTCTAATCTAAGGCTGCAGACTGAGTCAAGTGAGTTAGTGTCATGCTTACCACCTCAATACTGTATTCCATACTCCACATAGGAGTGTCTTTGTATACACATCACCATCCAAGTCTGAATACAAACACACCACCACACTGGCCACTCTGTCCTGAGTGAACCACAAGCAACCAGCAGCTTGTACCAGAACATTAGTGGAGACTTTGGTTTCCAAGCTCAGAACCCATGCTAACGCTAACTGACAGGCTACTTATAGGAAATTTTAAAGCATATTTTCCTTCCCAAAACACTTGTTATTAGAGCAGCTTAGCCAAACCGCAAAACAACAAACATGGGGGTTAATATGTGTACACTGCTTCATGACAGAACAGGGCTGCATGACAGCCTAGTGAAAAGTCTAGTGAGAACCACTCACATTTTACAGACACCATACGGTGTTCCAATAAAACAGTTCATTTCCACCTGGTGGGGAAGCAGCTCACCTTCATGTTTACTGGAGCTCTGTGTTATTTATGACCCCTGAAATCATGCTGCCTCTGAGTGCTAGTCTCAGCTGGGGTGGTGCAGGCATAATGGTGGGCAGAGACTGATCATGTTGTCACTTTTTCAGTACCGCTTAGCCTCAGAAAGCCAAAAACAGCAGCACTGAAAGCAGCAGAATGGTGTGTAGCTGTCTGTTATTCTCTTTTTGAATAAATACTTTCTCCTAAATGGTGCAATAAGCATGAATTCTCTTTCTACAAATCTCATTCCTGGTCACAGCCAAGAGGCCAAACATTATCAGAGACTGAAAAGACTATGAGGATCATAAAGTCTGTGCACACTACCTGCTGTGATTTAGTCCTCTGCGCTACTGAGGATAGACAGGCAGAGACAAAGAGAGACAGACAGATGTATTACCTGGAGTTCATCCTGGCACGGAGCTTCTTTGCCTTCTTCCGTGCCTTCTGCCGCTCTTCTCCATCCTTCATGTTCTCAGAAGAAACAGAGCTGTCTGTCACTATATCCACAATGTATTTCTTCAATGAAAGATGCTCCTAGAGTAGGAAAAAAACAAAGACGCCACTATAATATTTCTGTTCTTTTGGCATCAGAGGCATAATGAATGTTCACATTAAAAAGGAGCACGGAATGTGTTGTGTGACACGTATCCCTACACCTCTCAATAACACCACTGTATCCTGTAATTACTTCCAAAAGCCTACAATCTTTTGAAAGCCACGCGCCCCTGGACACGCTACAGGGCCGGAGGTGTTGCTTCCTGTCTCGCCCTGTCAGATGATTCTGATATTTCCACCATGAGACAGGGGATGTAACCCAATTTGAACAACATGATGCATGTGCAAGAAACCAATTACCCAATTATGCTGTCATCCAGCACCCCGGAGGACAGGATGGTCTCACAGATAAAGGGTTTCCATTCAGCAATCGAGCTAAACCTGTGTGTGGGATGTCATACCCTATGGTCCCAAGTGTTATCAGTGCACCTGCTGCCTGAATAGGGGTTTTCACTTAAGGTTGTTGGGGAAAAACAGGTGTCCTTGCCTGGGCTGAAGTGTGCAAATGTGAATCAGTGCCACAAAACTATGGATTAAATCTAAAGATTTATCATTTTGACTTAAATGCCAAGGCTTAAACTGGCTTAGTTATTTCATATGACAAATGTTATGTACTTTGTTTTGCATGGTGATTTTTTTTTTTCAGTAGTTGGAAGAGGGTGAAACTCTGTTGGGAAAAGATCTAGTGTGATGACAATTGCAGAGTTGTTAGAAATGTCAGTCAAATCTCTGACTACACCACACCAACTCAGTCCTAATGATGCAAATTGTTAAACTATAATTAACATACTCTTAATCAAAAATAAGCAACAATGTTTTTTTTCTAAAAGTTAAATTTGATTGTTACACACTGAGTAATAAATATTCAATATTAGGCAAACATATGTCAGATTTGAAGCAACACTTTGGTGCATTAGTGTTCGTCACAGTTAACTTATGAATATGTTGGCGTTACTTGGAGACATTAATAATAATTTCTTTTTTTTAAGTCCCAAAGTAATAAGAGTATAGGAGAAAGGGGACGATGATAACCTTGGAAATGAAAAGAGGTGCTGCATGTGAAGGTATTATGTTTCTTAGGAGGGGTGTGTGTCTGTTGGCATGTGCACACCTTTACATCCCGATAAGACAGGTCAGTCAGGACTCACCACCGTAGCTGTCCCTCACTCGGGAGGCAGCTGTTCAGTAATCTCAGTGCACTAGCCACTCACTTAATGAAAGTGTTTCAGTAACCCGCACTTAAATTCACACTGATAACATAAAAGGTATCTCAAATATTAAGTTGTCAAAAAGAGTAAAATGCTGACACGCAGGCTGTGATCCTTTAGCAAATAAATATATAATTTTAACATCCCGTTTCCACTTTCTAGGAGGCTGTTCTGAATGTTTGAGACAATACACATGTAATTTCTATAGGCTCAGTTCATCTACTGTTTTTTGTCACATGTAAAAGTCTGAGAGGTAGGCTTTCCATTTTGTGTGAAACAAACTGCTGTATTTCATGTTGACCATGAGATAAAATATTATACTATGCCAGACTGAGTTACCATCACTACAGTGGTATATATGACATATTTCAATTAAGCAGCAACCGATCAGTGACATTTAAGGAGGAGACAAGTCATAAAAGACCAAAAGAACTATTCGGCAAATTTCTATTTCAACAGCAGCTTCTATATTACAACTAGATTACAGTGTAATCTCAAAACAGTGTAGGGAGGTGGGGAGGGAGAGGCTCGTTTCAGCTGGCAGCCTGGATATTTCAGCAAGGTTCCCAATTTGTCATCAGTACAACTTCAATGACAAGACCTTTAGGGCCATTCGGTACATTTGGGAGGTCTGCTATGATACCCTCTGCAGCTTGGGGAATCTCTCTTCTGGCTGTGTTTACCAAGCAGAACAGAACCATCTTTCCTAAGAGAAACCACCTTTTTTTAAGTTGTTGTGTTTAAAGGTGATCAATAAATAAAACGCTTATATCAGAAACCTTTGATACAGTGGCAAGAACATGTACTGTATGTGAACCTGTTGGAATTAAAACATGATAGTATATACAAACACAATGTGATTAAAATATTAATACAAACAGTTACGATATTTAAACACACCCATTAAACATTCACAGTGCTGTTGAAAATTTTAAATAAACGATCAAATCGCCTTTGGCAGCAACAGCCTCAAACAAGCGTTTTCTGTAGCTGCATATCAGACCTGCATAACGTTCAGGAGAACTTTTAGACCATCCACCCTGACAGAACTGCTTCAGCTCAGCCATATTCCTAGGATGTCTGATGTGCAGTAAACGACTCCCATTAGGTCATTGGTATTGGGTTAAGGTCTGGGCACAGACTGGGCCAATCCAAAATGTGGATTTTCTTAGTATGAAATTATTGTGTAGTAGATTTAGTATGATGTTCAGGCCAGTTTTCCTGCTGCATCTCCCAATTTAGTGAGCAGACGGTCGCACTGACATTATCCTATATAGATCACTGTCCTCTCAATGACAAGCTGTCCAGGCCCAGAGGCAGCAAAGCAGCCCTACACCATGGTGCTCCATATGTTAGACTCCTGAACAGAGATGTTAACCAGCTCCAGCTTTAACTGTCACTCTGGGCTTCTTTCTTTTTAATCTTAATGTGTATTCTACATTGTGTCTTTATTCGAGCACCAACTTCTGGGAAAAGTAGTAGCCACAGTACTAAATCCTCTCAGTTTATAGACAGTAACTGTACACTGATTCTTGTTCATAAGTCCCCCGAGATGTCTTTTTTTGTGAGGCATGGTTCATTATCAGCAGATTTTCCATGTGGGTAACAAACTCAAACTCAAACTGTTTGTGTTTTTAGTGTTTCACATCCTTTTTCAAACCTACACTGTGGATATTTGAATAATGGATTTAATATGGTCAAGAATGATACAATTGTACGTTATTAGTTAAAATAGATTGTTTCAAATGATTTCTTTCCATACATCGATCTAGCTCTGTTGATAGTCATTCAATTTTCATTTTAATTCACAATATTGCAGAAGGAGAAAAAAGGCCAAATATGAAGGCACAGGGCATTTGCTGCCCATTTCTACAGAAAAACTATGGAGCGACCTCTGCACAGTTGAGCCAACCATCCTGATTTTAATTAAAAATCATGAAGAGTTTTGAAGCTACAGTAGGGGATAATAGTTGGCAGCCTATGAATAAAATAGCATACACCAAAATGAACTATAATAGAAATAACAAGGGGGCATAACAATCTAAACCATGTCTCCACCCATTAACCTATTGGACAGATTGATTATTTTTAACATGCCAAAAGAAAAAGTAGTTCTGGATATAGATTAAAAATACTGCAATGACTAATATCAAAATCCAGTAGTAAAACAATTAATACAAACTGTATGACATTTAGATTTAGCCAGCCAAGGACTTAAACTTAAGACTGATCAGTATTGACAGTGAGATGCAATGTGAGAAAACCATAAAGACAGTTATTTGTAAAACTACAACATATACAGTAGAAGACATACAGCAAATGTATATGAAGTAGTGTTCTTACACGTGCTGTTTATAGTGCTATATTGGTGAAGTGCTTCTTTCCATTGCCTTGTTTATCATACTGTCAAACAGGCGGAAAAATGACCTGCATTTGGAAAGGAAATTATTTAGACAAAAGGAAGGAAGGGGTATCAATTATTTCCCACTGAAAAAAAGCTTTGAAAGAAGGAGCTGTCAGGGCCAAAGGTGCTGTGTATAGCACCAACAGTTGTCAGCCTCACAATGAGCACTGCTGAAAAGCCAATCTCATATTGCAGCCTGAGAGGTTACCTTGCATTAGCGAGCTGCCTTCCCATGGAAAGCAGCCCTATGACAAAAACAGCCTGGAGACAAGGGGGTGATGTCACCCCTCCACTGAAGCACTGAACCCTTACTGTGTACATTTTAAGGCCCATTTGTAATCTCACAAAGCCCGTAACAGAGCCGTGGCCAGCATATAAGGGGACACGTAAACAATAATAAAGACCATGTCATAAAAGACCATCGCTGTATCTTTTTGTCTTTTTACATGACAAAACAGCAGTATTCTTTGACAGGATGAGTGGCTGTTTGTTCCTGGCAGGGCGTAGGTGATACGTACCACTTCCTCATCAGAGAGCTCCCGTCCCTGGATGCTGCTACCGTCTCTCACGGCCTGTTGATGCCTCTTGCCCTTGGTATGGCTGAACAGGTGCACTTCAGAGGTGATCTGCAAACACAAACACAGTGGTTCAGAGGTCACTGCTGAGAACTCAGTGAAGACAGAGGCAGGAAAGGGTCAACCAAACCCCATGGGATGCTGGTCAAATACTATACAACACAAGCTTTTCAATGGGACATGACCTGCCTTGTTTGAGCTTTATCTTAAAGTAAAAACTAAGGAAAGGAATTGTGATGTTACATATAGACTATACAAATAAGATGACTATGTTTGTATTACATTTTTACCATCATATTTTAAACAAACCTATACTATACCACACTACATCTCAAAATGTCATACAAAATGTTTTTAAAACGCTTAATTTACTTGCCTTACAATGCAATGCAGGAAAACTGTAGGCTCATAAACACAATAAGGTGTGTGTAGTACAGCAAACAAGCCCATTTAGAATGGTTTGTGCTTAATGTCATTAAATAAAGTCCTGGCTGCTGACCCATCCCTGATCTCTGGTGTCAGATGGTAAATGGTCTTATACTTATATAGCGCCTTTCTATGCTTTTACAGCACACTCAAAGCGCTTCACATTATTCAGCCATTCACCCATTCGCACTCCCAAGCACTCACGCATTCACACACCGGTGACATCACCGGGAGCAACTGGGGGGGTTCAGTGTCTTGCTCAAGGACCTCTCAAGGCTCAAGGCCCCCCAAACTGGCGGCCAAGGTCATCTAACATTTTAACAAGATTCAGTCCTTCACGCCCGACTCTTCTCTTTATCTGATGTTGGTCTGAAGACTGTCCCACCCTAGTTGCCGTGGTAGCTGGCCCATCAGAGATAAATGTGGTTGTGGAATTGTTGCCTGACACTTGAAAAAGCATCATCACACCCATTCATAAATCTGTTTTAAGAGTCCACATTTAATCAGTGCAGTTAAATCCTCATTTAAAAAGTGCCCTCTTCCAAAAATCCTCTGAATCTGCTTCCTATCAGCATTTGTATATATATGCAATCTGCCAAATAACACAGGGGCATTGTCCAGAGCTGTTCAGCAGCAGCAAACATATATTAGCTAATGAGAGTAAAAGTGAGAGTAAAATAATTAAATGAAGGGTAGGAAAACAATTCAAGCTCTTTTGAAAGCAATACAGAGTTTTTATAAACACACCTCTCTCTCTCTATGATAACAGACCTTATAAAGTTGTACTGTTAGACTAAACTGGAAATCAAGGGAACCAATAGATACCAATAAATCCCAAGGCTCCTGGGAGGAAATGAGACATACCACAACACCACACAGGGAGCACTGCTTCTTGCGCTCATATGGTGTCAGTTTGGGGGCGTAGTCTGTATTAGCATGTCGACCACCGCTGAGCTCAGCAGCCTTCTCCTTCCTCTGCTCAATTTGCTCCATATGCCTGCGACTGCTCTCATCATGCTACAGAAGAAACCAGAAACCAGGGGTGTCACTTGGTAAATGAGGATTCCTATGTGGCATCTGTTAGAGATGTATGGTGGCATGGTATAAACTTACCTTCATCTGAATTTTCTTCTGTAGCTCCTCCATGGCCTCCTGTTGAGCAGCACTAAGAGCAGCCAGACGTTCTTCTCGGTCTCTTCAGAGGGGACAACAAATTACCACTAGAATCAAATGAAGACTAGTGCAGCCACCTGTGTATGTGCATTCCTATATTCAAAGGGCATAGGACTACACACCTGGCCCTTTCTCGTGCTGCATCCTCTCTAGCTTTTTCTTTTTCCTGCCTCTGCTGTACGATACGAGCCTCTTGCTCTTTCCTCCGGATCAGCAACTCCTCCACTCTTGCCTGCCTCTCTGCTTCCAAGACCCGTTTACGCTCCTACCAAAGGTGTTAAAGAAAACAGACACGTGACAAACACAGAAATTACTTATGGATAAATTAAATTTGAATGAATGGATCATTGGCTTTTCTATCACCTGCACAGCCTCATCTCGGGCCTGCTTCTCCTCTTGTCTCCTCTGTCTCTCCTCCTGCAGCTCGTTAAGGCGTTGCTCATACTCATTGAGCTTGGCCAGGGCATCATGCCTCTTGTTTTGGGCTTCCAGGGTGTTGATAAAAGCGATTTCATTCACCTATACAGACACATATACTTATGCATGAGGACATAAAGACACACAAGGTATACAACATGTACAGTACATAACCATGAATGCATACATAGACGTGGGCCTGGGGGTGCCAGTTTGCTTGTCTATAGGTAAATACTGGAACCAATGAAATGTGTTAAAAATAGAAACAATATTTTGGCATGCATCAGCAAAACCCAGTGGTCATTTTCAATGTGCACCATTCGTCAAAAGTTTGGACACTTTTCTCATTCAATGGCATGTCCAAACTTCTGACTAGTGTACACTGTGTAGCATGAATGTAATGTTACACTTTAAGTAATAAAAGTATGACTGCAAATGCCCTACTTTATTTGGAAATTTCCTCAGCTGTCACACACATTTGGCTCTATCTTTTTAAAGGATCCCCCCCCTTATACCTTGGCTTCTTCTTCTTGGGCCTTCTTCACAATCGCCTGGAGCTGCAGCTCTCGCTTAAATTCTGCATGTAACAGCTTTTCCTCCATCATCTTCCGACGTTGCTCCAATAACTCCTCCTTCCATTTCCTCACCTCCTTCTCCTATAGAAATGGAGAGTGAGAAGCAGGAGTGTTAAAAAAATAAAACTGAAAAATAAAAAACTACAACAAAACAAAAAATTGTCCAGGACAACACAGACAATGAATTCATGATCTATCAGTTGCTACCCTCTCCAGTGTGTTCATGTGGGGATTAACGGGAATATACAGCACTTCATGTATTTATGTGGATAATCCTGATTAATTCTAGGACTCACTCATCCTGCTTGAGTATAAAAACAAACTTCATGAAAGGCTGTTGATTTTGGACTGGGGTCTTTCTCACAACTGCCTGCAGCCAGCTGGCCTGGATGCGACTGAAGGGGGGTATAATATTTAGTGTTTCTATCGGGCGGTGCGCTGACAGGACCTCTCGTTGAGAGTCAGGCTGGGCTTAGCTTGCATGCAGTTTCTTTAGGATGCTTTCCATCATCTCATAGCAGCTTTCTCACCCTCTCCAAAAGCTTCTGCAGTTTGAGAGTCTTTTCCTCCCGGAGTTTGTCCCGGAGCTGCTGCGCCTTCAGCTGTTTCTCCTCATGTTTCTTCTTCGACTCTGCAATGGTTCTGTCAGAAATATGGAAACAAGTCATTCATCTCTTTCTCTACCCTTATCAACAATGTGCAAGGCAGACACAGACTGACAGGCACTAGGGTCTGTTTAGCCGTTCTGGGTGGCAACCTTAAAAAGAAACTGAGGTCAGACACAAGTAAGTGGGCTTTTGACATTCAGGCTGTTGGGTTAAATCCTTGTCAAAGTAAGGTGAGGGACTTGCAAATGAGTAGATTGTGGTGCTGTTCAGGAAGGCACTAAACAAGAACAGAGACTCATTGCATTGTGTGAGTACTGTTAACTGTCAAACATAAACTAAGCAGAGAGTTGAAAAGGGAACATGTGCTCAATCAAATCACTGCATTAAAAAGTTATTGCACCTTTTGCGGGATGGTGAAGACAATTTCTCATGCATGTGGATTCCATGTCCAGGTGGTCGAGCAGGTTCCTCTTCTACCATGTCCCCCCATGAGGTACTCTGACGCCATGTCTCCCGGGCTACAGGAAACCCAAGCAAAGAAAATGAATAGACCTAAATGTAATGCTGCCAATAGAAACAATGAGATTTCAATGTTTATTTACTGTGCATGTTGACCTCCATACTGTACCGTCATAATCTGCTAACATGTCAGTCCAATCCATATTCACTCCGCAACATCCATTGCCAATGCTAGCCTGTAAAGAGAAACTGTTTTAATATATCAACACTAAATTAAGTCAAATAAAAAAGGTGATAAACATTTACAGTATAAATGATTGAATCTCACAGAGAAGTCACTTTCGTTGTCAGTCTCCAGGTCATTGTTCTCAGCCTGAATCTCTCTGGTCAGCTGCTCTTCCTCAGCAATTGCACTGGCGATGGCCTCCTCGTTGGCCTTCTCCAGTCGGTCGGCGAGCTCCTCTTTCTTGGCCAGTACCTCTGCCATGGACTCGGGCTGAACATATGGCACAGATACCTCCTTACACAGACATTTCATACTTCATAAATATTATGATATCCAAAAAAAAAAACATAGTGAGTGACAAGAAAAATAGAAAACACTGTTATGTTGTTGCTGACTGTGGCAGCAGGTATTTTATTTTTCTGGTCACTGAGTGTAAATAATGAAATAAAAGGTTGAATGTGGTTAATATTTCTAATTAAACAAAAAGTATTCAATGTGTAGCACCTGTAACAATATATTTTTGCTTCTGTGCACTTGGCCTGATTTGTGCATAATTCAAAGATTGAAGGGAACACCATATCAACTCAGTCACAGTGTGTACGACACAATCACCACAAGAATCACAAGTGAGGAAGCATTCGGTAGTCATGCAGTGCACATTTACTGTGAGGATGAAAAGATGGTGGAAGGAGGCAACTGATGGTCTAGCTCTGTCAAACCAACAGTTCACTTCAACCTTTTTAAGTATTTTAGGAGTTTATGGATTTTGGCAATAATAAGAGAATGGCTTTTTACTCCAGAGTAGCAAATACTCAGTTAAACAGTTATAGATGACTGTTTAACAAGACTATGTGCCTTTTACATGTGGTATGCATAGGAAGGTTCAAGTTTGGGATTTAAATCCTGAGTATGGCCTGGGCAAAAACTACATCTACACTGATGCCAAATATGAGGCCAAATAGCCTTCACTGTAAATCTGGGTTGAAGATTTTTCCACAAGATTTCATTCACTACCTGTCAAAATCAGATAATATCCCACTTACAGGTGTAGTCACTCTTCATTAAGCATATAGAGCTCTGTGTTTACACACTCCATGATGCTTAATAATAGTGACAACACCTGATATAGGCAGACAATGTCTGCCAGCGTTCTGACAACAGGTTGTATTCAAGATAGAAACCTAGGCCAGCTTCTACAGCATTTTGTTGGCAAAGAATTATAAATGTAGCCAAAATAACTAAAATCAGTTGAGAAGATATTCTTGGGAAATACCCTGGAGCACTTGCTTGAGTATAAAAGCAATCGACTCACAGCTATTCTTCACAGTGACTAGTACTATAACAACACTACACAGAACTATGCAGTCTTGCCTGCACATTTGGTCTGGAGGTTTGACTTTGTTTAGGCGGTGAAGGACCCTTGGGGACCCTTGGCTCTCCCACCCTCCCCTCCCTCTGCTCCTCCATCTCTCAGCACTCACAGTAGAAAGCTCTGTGGGGTCCAGCACACTCTCCAGTTTCACCGCTGCCATGGGAGTCTCAGCCTGTCCTGGAGCAGATGTGGCCATGCCCTGTGACGGGCCTCCCTCAGCCCCAGTGTCCCCCAAGGCCAACAGTGCACCAAGCCCATCCATCTGGGGTAGATCTGGGGATGGGGAACAGGCCAGAGCAGGGACTGGGACAGATAAGGTAATGGCAGTTGGTGGGACTATGGCTGAGGATGGGATGGGCTCTGGGACTTGGGAAGGGGTATGATCTGTTATGAGAGGAGGTGTGTCTTCACAGCGTGCGTCGACACACTGCCCCAAGTCTTGTACACTCTCTGTTGCAGGCTGCACCGACAGTCACACACAAACAAGTGCAAACTCAATTAAAGACATGCAATACAAGCAATTTCTGAGAGCAATAACAAAAAAACAAAAAAAATTCATATCTGTCAACGCTCAACACACAGCTGAAAACACAAGTCATGCAGGGAAGCTGGTACTAACATGCCCTAAAGATTGAATTATGATCCAAATAAGCAGACAGATTAGAAGTACTGATTTGCATTTCAAAATTAACACACTATTGCCAAGTGTGTTTGAGGCATTGGTGGAGTATTTATTTCACGAGAGTGAAAATGGGTTTCTGCCTCTGAAATGTCAGTGTACAATCAATTGCCTTTATAGATGATATGCCTGTCTGGACAGTCTGTCTATGAATACCATGGAGCCCAAAACAAAAACAAATGCGGCCGATAAAATGAGCTAGTGTTACTCTACTTCTTGTGAATAATTGATATCCAGGGACTGCTCTGGGAAAAAGACGTCACAAGGTACTGAACCTCAGTACCTCAATCATGCCTCCATTCTCTGGACATCCAACCTCCTCCGGGGGGTCGGGCTCCGCAGGGACTTGCTGCTCAGTACCTGTCTGGACTACGTCCTTGGCTGGGGGATACTGAGGGTGAAGTTGCTGTGGTTCCTGTGACGGCAGATGTGACTGGTTACCCTTGGTGATGTCCTGTTTTGGGGTGACATGAGCCAAGACAGGACTGACCTTGGCAACTATGGCAGCAGAGCGAGGCTTGGCAGCGCGCCCTCGCTGGACGGTCTCCCATCCCTCAGCATCCTTTTTACCTAGAAAACATGAAATTCTGTTTCTGTGCTCTCTATATTAGAGGAAACCACATTTTCTGTGTGTAGAGTCTGGGGTCAACTGGAGGGGGATTTCTTACCGGGTTTTTCTACTGGGTATGTGGTTGGCTGATTGGAGCTAGAGACAGGATGAGTGCACTTGACTCGGTCTGCCCAGCTGGGGCCTGTGTGGGAGAGCCGGGCTGCAGCCAGTGTAGGTGGAGGACCACTGAGTAAGAAAGACACATATCATGCATGTGAACAAGCAACTGTGCACCTGCACAGTAAAGCCTTTACTGTCAACAGGTAGGATTTTTGGATTTATTAAATCCTGACTCTGAACTCCCACTGTGCTGCCTGTCTTGAGACACATCAGCTGTCTAAAGACGCCCATCTACCCCCCCCCCCCCCCCCCCCACCACAAAACCCCCACCAAAACCGTAAA